CTCAATCGGATTCAGGTCAGGTGATTGACTTGGCCATTGCATAACATTCCACTTCTTTCCCTTAAAAAACTCTTTGGTTGCTTTTGCAGTCTGCTTTGGGTCATTGTCCATCTGCACTGTGAAGCGTCCAATGAGTTCTGAAGCATTTGGCTGAATATGAGCAGATAATATTGCCTGAAACACTTCACAATTCATCCTGCTGCTTTTGTCAGCAGTCACATCATTAATAAATACAGGAGAACCAGTTCCATTGGCAGCCATACATGCCCACGCCATGACACTACCACCACCATGCTTCACTGATGAGGTGGTATGCTTAGGATCATGAGCAGTTCCTTTCCTTCTCCATACTCTTCTCTTCCCATCACTCTGATACAAGTTGATCTCGGTCTCATCTGTCCATAGGATGTTGTTCCAGAACTGTGAAGGCTTTTTTAGATGTCGTTTGGCAAACTCTAATCTGGCCTTCCTGTTTTTGAGGCTCACCAATGGTTTACATCTTGTGGTGAACCCTCTGTATTCACTCTGGTGAAGTCTTCTCTTGATTGTAAACTTTGACACACATACATCTACCTCCTGGAGAGTGTTCCTGATCTGGCCAACTGTTGTGAAGGGTGTTTTCTTCACCAGGGAAAGAATTCTTCGGTCATCCACCACAGTTGTTTTCCGTGGTCTTCTGGGTCTGTTGGTGTTGCTGAGCTCCCCGGTGCGTTCCTTCTTTTTAAGAATGTTCCAAACAGTTGTTTTGGCCACGCCTAATGTTTTTTCTATCTCTCGGATGGGTTTGTTTTGTTTTTTCAGCCTAATGATGGCTTGCTTCACTGATAGTGACAGCTCTTTGGATCTCATCTTGAGAGTTGACAGCAACAGATTCCAAATGCAAATAGCACACTTGAAATGAACTCTGGACCTTTTATCTGCTCATTGTAATTGGGATAATGAGGGAATAACACACACCTGGCCATGGAACAGCTGAGAAGCCCATTGTCCCATTACTTTTGGTCCCTTAAAAAGTGGGAGGCACATATGCAAACTGTTGTAATTCCTACACCGTTCACCTGATTTGGATGTAAATACCCTCAAATTAAAGCGGACAGTCTGCAGTTAAAGCACATCTTTTCGTTTCATTTCAAATCCATTGTGGTGGTGTATAGAGCCAAAAATGTTACAATTGTGTCGATGTCCCAATATTTATGGACCTGACTGTATGTTCAGCAGTGCAAGACAAATAAATTCTTTAAAAATCATACAATGTGATTTCCTGAATTGTTTTTAAAATTCTGTCTCTCAGAGTGGGAATGCACCTACAATGTGAATTTCAGACCCCTCCATGATTTCTAAGTGGGAAAACTTGCAAAATCGCAGGGTGTTCAAATACTTCTGTTCCTCACTGTACCTGTTGATATTTTTCTCAGGCACCTCTCCAACCTTTTTACTGCATGGGGTGGCTGGGTCTAATCCTGGCATCATTCTTATTTGCATTTCTTTCAGCTCAGTGTTTTTGTTTGTGGCTGATCCCATTTTTAGGATCATACTCTAATTGGTACCTCCTCAGTTGCTCCTCCATGAGAACTCCTCCCAGGCTATAAATCTTTCGAGACAGACAGGCAGGTTTTCCCCACTCATGGTCACTGTAACTCTCCCACTCACTACCTGGGGAGGTTAGCGCTACTGTCTAAATGTCCCTTTTATATACATCTTCCTGGCTTGTATCCATCAAACTCTCTGCCCTGAGCTTTGACTTGCTTTTCCTGCCTGCATCAAGGTTGCAGATTACCAAGTTGCTTGTTTTGTTAGCTGAGAAGTCATTTTGCTCTTGCCTTCTCAAAAACCTAGCCCTATGCATCAGTCTATTTCTTTGTGCGTTTTGTTTTCCACTTTACATGCAACCTGTAGGTGCCCAGGCACTTGCCAGCCTCTCCTACCAAATGTCTTCAATTATATGATTGCTCTGCAGGCTTTCAGAAATCTCCCAGCATCTCTCATTCACTGATATTTACCAGTTAAGCACATTGCCACCTTTAGGTTGGGTTCTCCTCCTTCTAGAGGACATGTATATCTCTCCCCATACTCATCAATCTATTATGTGAGGTATTTCTCAATGTTATGATAGGGATCCATACCCTCTGAGGCCTTCCTCAAGTGCACTTGCCCATACGAAGCCCTACCCCTGTGCTCAAAGGGGTTACTCCCTTTAAAGGACATCTGTATAGTATTATAGTATAGTGCAGGCAGGGGCGGACTGACAACTCATGGGGCCCCCGGGCAATAGGGGATCATGGGGCCCCTGTGTCCTTGCCCAAACTCAAAAAAGCCTATGAAAAAGGTACCATGGGGCATCTCATGGGGCCCCCTACTGACCCCGGGCCCTCGGGCAGTGCCCGAGTTTCCAAATGGTCAGTCCGTCCCTGAGTGCAGGACACAGTTCCCTCTACTCTTTTCTCTACAAATATCTTACTAGTTCATAAAAAAGAATTGGAGCCTCACAGAGTGGGTAAGGTTATGGGTACATTGGGGGGGGGGGGGGGGGGGGGGGGGGGGAGTTCAGCAAAGCTTTTGACAATGTCCAATCATTTGAAAGTCGTAAGGTACCATCTTTCTTTTGTACAAAACGAGAATGGGAAAAGAGGAAGTTAATTGGTGAATATGTTTCCAATATTCTCCTCAATGTACTCTTTTAATGGCTTGGTTCTCTGGCTCACAAAAGAGGACATATATTACCTTTTAAGCAGAGTAGTACCTGGCAAACCAATACAGTCAATGGTACAATCATAAAGCCTGGGAGGAGGCAAAGCTGTGGCAGCTTTGATGTAAAAGGAAGAAGGAGTAGTGGTACTGACTGCAAGTAGGGTGTGTTCCTTCAGGCAGATTTCAAAACAAGACTCAGACCATGAGAGAATCTATCAACAATAGCTCAGGATCAATAGGTTAGGTTGGAGATGAGGTGGTGTAGAAATACATTTTTGTTGATACTGAGTCCCAATTTTTAAGGGTGAGAGTGTGCGTATGGTGACTGGCCCAAATGACAGTTTTTTCAGATTACTGGTTCTGCACTGAGACAAACCTAGATTAATGAAGGCACTGGCAGCACCTGAATCCAAAAAGGCTGACAAGTTGTGCTGGGTGCACTGGAGAGACACTATGGCTGGAACAAACAATTTACAGGCTTGGGCTTAGGGACACTGCCAGTTCCTTTAGACCCCAACTTTTCCTGGCTTGACTTGACACTTATCCATGTGGTGGCCCTGGTGGGATCCACAGTAAAAGTGGAGGTCTCATGTATGTTTTGGGAATCTTTCTCAGAGGACATGCAGATGCCTCCAAACTGCATGGGCTTGTCAGTAATGGCAGTGGAAGCCCTAGGAGATGATTTGGTGATAGGCCAGGGCAATGGAGAAAAAAGAACATTTGCACTTCATACGTCTCTCTCGTAAGCGTTGTTTGGTACTTACGGTGAGGAATTTGGTGGTCTCTAAGGTGGCTGAAGTGGGGCTATAAACTAGCAAGTCCCTAATGAAAGACCCAGTTAAAATAGGCTATCTAGGGTCAGGTCATTCCAGCTGGAATCATGTGCCCAATGCCGGAATTCAGAGTAGTACTGTCAGGGCTCCCAGGTATGACCAGAGGTGTGTGACTGAAGCAGGGAAACGCAGACTTCAGATATGTGATTAACAATGTAATTTATTAACACTAACAATACAAACATAAACGCAGTGCAATACTAAACATAATACAGTGCAAACAAACCCAACCAACCACCCACAGATAACAGTACATACAAGCAAGCGTCGTCAGGCAGGCCGAGTCATTATCAATTGGGCAGGTAGGTACAGGGGGAGCAAGCGGAGAATGGTCGGGGTCACAGGCCAGGTTCAGCAGGTAGCAAGCAGCGTAGTACAGAGGGTCAGGCAGAGGGATGGTCAGGGTCACAAGCCAGGGATCAGAACAGGTAGCAAAGGAACAGAAACAGGATGCAGGACAGATACAGGGCCCAGGACAAACACAACACCAAGGCAGAGTCTGCAAGTCTGGCCATCCCTTAAATACACCAGTATCATCAGTTCCAGGTGTTAGCTGGCTGAAAGGTTGAGTCTCTGATTGCTGGGAGCACCCGCTGGCCAGCCCTGGTACTGCAGATCAAAAGGCAGGTGAGTCCCACCATTGCTGGCCAGTCCATTCCTGACAGTACCCCCCCCTCAAGGAGCGGCCTCAGGACGCTCCAAACAGTCCTAGCTGGGAAAAATGTTCCACCGCCCGGGTCTGGTAACTGGCGGGATATCAAAGACTGGCACACCGGGCAGGACTCCGGGCAGCGGTACACCGGGCAGAGGCACATCGGGCTGGACTCCGGGCAGAGGCACACCGGGCAGAGCCACACCGGGCAGAGGCACATCGGGCTGGACTCCGGGCAGAGGCACATCGGGCTGGACTCCGGGCAGAGGCACATCGGGCTGGATCCGGGCAGAGGCACATCGGGCTGGACTCCGGGCAGAGGCACATCGGGCTGGACTCCGGGCAGAGGCACATCGGGCTGGACTCCGGGCAGAGGCACATCGGGCTGGACTCCGGGCAGAGGCACATCGGGCTGGACTCCGGGCAGAGGCACATCGGGCTGGACTCCGGGCAGAGGCACATCGGGCTGGACTCCGGGCAGAGGCACATCGGGCTGGACTCCGGGCAGAGGCACATCGGGCTGGACTCCGGGCAGAGGCACACCGGGCAGAGGCACATCGGGCTGGACTCCGGGCAGAGGCACATCGGGCAGGACTCCGGGCAGAGGCACATCGGGCAGGACTCCGGGCAGAGGCACATCGGGCAGGACTCCGGGCAGAGGCACATCGGGCAGGACTCCGGGCAGAGGCACATCGGGCAGGACCCCGGGCATAGGCACATCGGGCTACCAGGCGAAGCGGCAGGCAGCGGGCCACCGGGCGGAGCGGCAGGCACCGGGCCCCCGGGGGCGGAGCGGCAGGCACCGGCCCCCGGGCGGGGCGGCAGGCACCGGGCCCCCGGGCGGGGCGGCAGGCCTCGGGCCCCCGGGCGGGGCGACAGGCCTCGGGCCCCCGGGCGGGGCGACAGGCCTCGGACCCCCGGGCGGGGCGACAGGCATCGGGCCCCCAGGCGGGGCTACAGGCATCGGGCCCCCAGGCGGAGCGGCGGGCGCCGGACCCCCAGGCGGAACTACAGGTCTCGGGCCCTCAGGCGGAGCGGCGGGCGCCGGACCCCCGGGTGGAGCGACAGGTCTCGGGCCCTCAGGCGGAGCGGCGGGCGCCGGACCCCCAGGTGGAGCGACAGGTCTCGGGCCCCCAGGCGGAGCGACAGGTCTCGGGCCCTCAGGCGGAGCGGCGGGCGCCGGACCCCCAGGTGGAGCGACAGGTCTCGGGCCCTCAGGCGGAGCGGCGGGCGCCGGACCCCCAGGTGGAGCGACAGGTCTCGGGCCCTCAGGCAGGGCGGCGGGTGCCGGACCCCCAAGCGGTGCGACAGGTCTCGGGCCCTCAGGCGGAGCGACAGGTCTCGGGCCCCCAGGCGGGGCGGCGGGCGCCGGACCCCCAGGTGGAGCGGCGGGCGCCGGACCCCCAGGCGGAGCGACAGGTCTCGGTCCCCCAGGCGGAGCAGCGGGCACCGAGTCACCAGGCACGACAGTGGGCTCCGAGTCAACTGGCATGACCGCTGGCACTAGGTCAGACATTGGATCGTCTGGCTGGACAGCGGGCATCGGGTCACCAGGCATCAGGTCATTTGGCTCGGCAGCGGGCACCGTGTCATCTGGCAAGGCAGTGGGCTCCGAGTCAACTGGTATGACCGCGGGCACTGGGTCAGACATTGGATCGTCTGACCGGACAGCGGGCATCGGGTCACCAGGCATCAGGTCATTTGGCTCGACCGCGGGCACCGCGTCATCTGGCAAGGCAGTGGGCTCCGAGTCAACTGGTATGACCGCGGGCACTGGGTCAGACATTGGATTGTCTGACTGGACAGCGGGCATCGGGTCACCAGGCATCAAGTCATTTGGCTTGACAGCGAGCACCGCGTCATCTGGCAAGGCAGTGGGTTCCGAGTCAACAGGCACGACAGTGGGCACCGGGTCATCAGGTACCGGATTGTCTGGCTCGACAGCAGGCATCGGGTCACCAGGTATGACAGCGGGCACTGGGTCACCAGGCATCAGGTCATTTGGCTTGCCAGCGGGCACCGCGTCATCTGGCAAGGCAGTGGGCACCGGGTCACCAGGCATTGGATCGTCTAGCTCGACAGCGGGCATCGGGTCACCAGGTATGACAGCGGGCACTGGGTCACCAGGCATCAGGTCATTTGGCTCGCCAGCTGGCACCGCGTCATCTGGCAAGGCAGTGGGCATCGAGTCACCAGGTACGACAGCGGGCTCCGAGTCAATTGGCACGACAGCGGGCACCGGATCAGGTACCGGATCATCTGGATCAACAGCGGGCATCGAGTCAACTGGCCTAATAGGATCGTCAGGCTGGATCAGTTCATCATGCTGGGTAGAGGCATCAGGCTGAATGCCGGCGTCCGGCTGAGTAGAGGCTTCAGGCCGAGTAGAGGCTTCAGGCCGAGTAGAGGCTTCAGGCCGAGTAGAGGCTTCAGGCCGAGTAGAGGCATCAGGCCGAGTAGAGGCATCAGGCCGCATACAGGCATCAGGCTGAAGAGAGGCATCAGGCTGCGTACCGGCATCAGGCTGAAGAGAGGCATCAGGCTGCGTACAGGCATCAGGCCAAGTAGAGGCTTCAGGCTGAACCACGGAAGGCAGGCTCACTGGTTTGGATACTGGCAGGATGGTATTGGTTGGAAAGAATTTTCGCTTTTTTCTGGTTTTAACTACTGGAGCACTGCAAGTAAACGCAGGTCTGCAAACGAATGGAGCAGCTGGAGACAGAGAAGAACTGGAGGATGGAACAGGAGAGGGAGCAGTTGCTACAGAGGGCTTTTTTACAGGGTTAAAGGCAGGATAGGTGCAGCGAGTGGGAACAGGGTACTGACATGCGGTAGATAGCCAAGTATACTGGGCTGTAACTGGAGGAGCTGTTGGGAATACAGGAGTAGAGTTAGAAGCAGGACTGGGTTTTTGTAAGCTGACTGAGGCTGGGTGCAACAAGTCTGTCCATGTCTGCAGTATGGGTTGAACAAAGCTGAGCTTACACAAAGCCTGTCTGGTCAATGACTGCACTGCGTTTATACAATCTCTTAGTGTCTGTGGTGAACATGTGGAATAATGCTCCAGAAAGTAACCCACATCATCCTCTAATAACCACACCAGGGACTCTACCTGGTCTGCACTAAATGGTGGCAAAAATTCATCCCTGCATTCGGGGGTACCAGATGAAACCAACTCTGCACAAACCTCAATCAAAGGCTGCACCTCAGAGAACTCTGTGCCCTGATCTACTAGAACATGAGCGAGCCGTATACATTCTAGCAGTTCATCCCGGGTATACTCCTTCAGAGTTTGATAAGCATACTCCCTGTCATCAAACACTAGCAGATATAAATACACAACCTCATCCAGATCCATCATTCCCATCAACAAGCCAAGATGGCTTCCCTGTGCAGCCACTTCTGGTCAGGATTGGCCTTGGTGTAATGTCAGGGCTCCCAGGTATGACCAGAGGTGTGTGACTGAAGCAGGGAAACGCAGACTTCAGATATGTGATTAACAATGTAATTTATTAACACTAACAATACAAACATAAATGCAGTGCAATACTAAACATAATACAGTGCAAACAAACCCAACCAACCACCCACAGATAACAGTACATACAAGCAAGCGTCGTCAGGCAGGCCGAGTCAATATCAATTGGGCAGGTAGGTACAGGGGGAGCAAGCGGAGATTGGTCGGGGTCACAGGCCAGGTTCAGCAGGTAGCAAGCAGCGTAGTACAGAGGGTCAGGCAGAGGGATGGTCAGGGTCACAAGCCAGGGATCAGAACAGGTAGCAAAGGAACAGAAACAGGATGCAGGACAGATACAGGGCCCAGGACAAACACAACACCAAGGCAGAGTCTGCAAGTCTGGCCATCCCTTAAATACACCAGTATCATCAGTTCCAGGTGTTAGCTGGCTGAAAGGTTGAGTCTCTGATTGCTGGGAGCACCCGCTGGCCAGCCCTGGTACTGCAGATCAAAAGGCAGGTGAGTCCCACCATTGCTGGCCAGTCCATTCCTGACAAGTACTGTTCAGCTAAATGTTTGCTCTGCCAGATATTACTGAGATGTATTTCTGCAGTACAAATCTAGTCTTAGTAATAAAGCAGGCCCATAGCATTGCAGAAAGCATTAATAGATTGTAAGATGGGATCAGATGGTGGCAAGCTGAAATCCCAAGCTTATAGGGTCCCCTTGGAGCAGAGACTTGATGATTCTGACTCATTGTATCTAGGTCCCAGAGAAGTGTCGGCAGAGATAAAAGATAAAGCTTGCAGTTGAGAAAATTGGAAAAGTCATTTTTCGGTTTCCAGAAAAATGATCTGGGAGGTGGACCTGGGGTTCTAGTTCTTGATGTGAGGAGTTTGTGAGAACTGGGGCCATCACTTGGTGTGATGCCCTGAGAGAAATTTCTTGAACCCAGCAGGTAAAGTCTTTGCTTTTCCAAGCGCATAGTTGTTTCTGAGAAGGACCCATATACAGAGGGTGTCTGCCTTGTGATAATGCATGGTCCGGAGACAGACACTGCAGCCACAAATAATAGTGGGTGTGTATATTCATCTTTAGCAGCTCATCCTATCCTTGGTGTATTTATACTTTTGCAGTCAAATTATATGTGTGCCCATGCATACAACATTCACTATATTGGCAAATGTATTGGGACCCCTACCTTTACACGCAGATGAACTTAAATGGCATCCCAGTCTGTAGGATTCAATAGTGAGCTGGCCGACCCTTTGCAGCTATAACAGCTTCAGCTCTTCTGGGAAGGCTGTCCACAAGGTTTAGGAGTGTGTCTATGGGAATGTTTGACCGCTCTTCTTGAAGTGCATTTGTAAGGACAGACACTGATGTCAGACGAGAAGGCTTCGCTCGCAGTCTCCGCTCTAATTCATCCAAAATGTGTTCTATCGGGTTGAGGTGAGGATTCTGTGCAGGCCAGTCAATTTCTTCCACCCCAAATTCACTCATCCATGTCTTTATGGACCTTGCATTGTGCACAGGTGCGCATCCTGTTGGAACATGAAAGGGCAATCCCCAAAGTTGGGAGCATGAAATTGTCCAAAATGTCTTGGTATGCTGACGCCTTAAGAGTTCCCTTCACTGGATCCAGGGGGCCAAGCCCAACGCCATAATCCTCCTCCACCAAACTTTACACTTGACACAATGCAGTCAGGCAAGTACCGTTCTCCTGGCAACCGCCAAACCCAGACACGTCCATCGGATTGCCAGACAGAGAGGCGTGATTAGTCACTCCAGAGAACACGTCTCCAGTGCTCTAGAGTCCTGTGGCAGCATGCTTTACACCACTGTATTTGACGCTTTGCATTGCACTTGGTGATGTAAGGCTTAGATGCAGCTGCTCAGTCATGGAAACCCATTCCATGAAGCTCTCTATGCACTGTTGTCGTGCTAATCTGAAGACCACACAAAGTTTGGAGGTCTTTAGCTATTGACTGCAGTGACTTCTGTGCACTATGCGCTTTCCCCGTTTTGTCATTTTACGTGGCCTACCACTTTGTGGCTGAGTTGCTGTTGTTCCCAGTTGCTTCTACTTTGTTACAATACCACTAACAGTTGACCATGGAATATTTAGTGGCAAGGAAATTTCACGGATGGACTTATTGCACAGTTGGCAACCTATCACGGTACCACGCTTGAATTCACTGAGCTCCTGAGAGTGACCCATTCTTTCACAAATGTTTGTAGAAGCAGTCTGCATGCCTAGGTGCTTGATTATATACACCTGTGGCATAGGAAGTGATTGGAAGACATGAATCCAGTGATTTGGAGGGGTGTCCCAATACTTTTGGCAATATAGTGTATATTTAAAAAAAAATTTGGACACGTTTGAGGTTGAATCTGTTACAAAAGATGGGCTAAAGACATGCTCGGCTTTCTCTCATTAGTCTGCAATGGAGAAAACCAGCTTCTAAACCTTAACCCTTTTGTTACGACAGACAGTATTCAAATCTAGTTTATCTGTATCTCATTATAGTATAGGACAGATAAGGTTAATTATTGCTAACACAGCTTTCCCATCTGACTCATACAGCAAAGTAAATAGGATTTTTCAGTGCTGAAGTTATCAGAAAAGAGCCTTCATATTGGTAAGCAGCAATCTTCATACATTTTTTTAAGATATGTTATGTGAATTTGAACATGTAACAAATAAAGTGTCAGGATGCAAATTGGCTGCAAAAGTGGAAGTACACTTTAAACCCTTGACGCTGACCGTACGCAAATATTCGACCTCCCAGCGTCTACGCCTTGACACTGATCGGCCACATATTTGCGTACTATTTGAAAACATATGTGCTGAGAGCATGTGCCGTGCACGGTCCTAGCACGTATGACGATGTCTCATGGACAGATCCCGATCTCCCCTTGCGATTGGGACCTTTTCCAATCATGTGACCGCCGTGACAGCGAATCACGGCAGTCACATGACCCTAAAACCTTCCCCGCCTCCCGGTGTCTGAAACCTCTTAAAGGGCCAGGAGGCGCTGGTGTGAAGAGGTTAAAGTAAGTAGGCCTGCCAGTATTAGGTTGTCCCAGGACTTAATGCACAAAACTATATACTCTGGATGTAGAACGTTACTAGCAGGCCCAATGTAGAATAGAGTAGGCCACCATACAGCGATGGGAGAATCAAGATGGTAGTCACTTTGGAGGAGTCAAAACTGGTTGGCAGTAGGCATATTTTGTGAAAGTAGCAAAGGCAGACAGCAGAAAGACGTTTCTGTTAAATGTAGCAAAGATCAGGGCAATGCCATGCTTACCCCTAACACAGAAAAGAGAGAGAAGCAGCGCCATCTAAGTGCAGCAATATAAGCCATCATTCAGCTATCTGCGGTCGGCAGTGGTTAAGGGAAAGTTATGCAAAATAGGCATGTATCTCACTAAGCACTATAACATAGAGACCATAAGGGTCCTGTGTAAATAAATAGATATATAAAAATAGAAATGTTTGTACATAAACAGGTGATTCCAAGTTGTTTAAAATGTATATACAACAATTCTAGATAATAATAATGCTACCTATGCCATTTGGAAAAATGATAATAATGTAGAGCAAGAGAAATAAAGGATAGAAATATAATAAGAATCTTGGAAGGATGGCCAGCTACCAGAAATATTAGGGAATAGATGTAACTATGTACATGCTAAAGCACTAAAGGTATCAAGTGAGTAGGTGTAATCATAGAGTATATGATGATCACTAGCCGATACAAATAAAGCATATGGTATACAAGCAAACATGTACAGTATCTCACAGCAGTGAGTACACCCCTCACATTT